CTCCATGGTGAACAGACGCTCGAAGACTGCAGACTCCGCAGATACGCGAAGAATCAATGGTACGCATTGTCCAGCCGTTTACCAACCAATATATTTACGATGCACATAGTGAATACCCCTATGGTGTACAGAAACCTCATAAAACCCAAATTGTTACTTTGGGTATCACAGAAAAGGGTGTCCCAGAAAGTATAAGCACAGTCTATTATTGGAATAAAGCAACGTTATGTTAATGAACTCAAATTTTTATTTCATATATATGTTCTCTATAGTATTCTCTTTCAATTGGATGGAAATAATCCGCAGTTCCTTTAATCGTATGTCAAGGAGCAAACTTTTTATCTGACACTGCCCATGAGCTTCAGCGCAGATTCCTTTGCGATAATTTTGGCTACTTATGTCTAGTCTTTTTCAAATTCTTCGATTAAATTCGCTGCCTGGGCCTGTGTTTCCCTTGGAAAGGGCTTAAAAAGTTTCGATTTACCGGGCCTCCGTATAATTCGGAAGATTCATCTCTTTTGGGCACGTATTGTCCATTGTTTGCTTTGTACCAAGCTACCGTGTTTTTCGAGTAGTGCTGTCGCGGCCAAAAGCTACTTTCTTCTCCGGTTAGGGAGAGTCTTTCGCTTACTAGGTCAGACACTGTTTTTTGATAGGAGTTACTTTTTTCTCCGGTTAAGGAGAGAAGTTTTCACTTCTAGGTCGAAAGTTCTTTCGGATTAAAAAAAAGAGAAGAATCTGGAGTAACCTACGAACTTAATTTTATTCCAAGATTTTGTACAAAGTGATCTTACGTCTACGTGTTGCATTAGCAACTTATAATTATGTAAAACTTTTACTTGGTTCATCCAAATTTGCCTATTCTATTAGCTAGGATTCCAATCGCCCTTGAAAGGGCAAATTTGCGTTGTTTAGATCTTATATACTATGCCAACTCAGATCGGGGATATCTCGGTTATCTTGTAAATTTCTTTCGTATTGTAACTCAGATCTGATTCTTATTGTAACTAACTGATATCACTGATGAGGATCAACAGAGAGAGAAAGCTCAATTTATCCTAGATGCGCAAACATGCCGTGCGTGGGCGTGTTTATCCTACTTGAACGCATAAACATTCCTACACGCAGAGAAATGATTTTTAAATTCAAATGGATATACTTTTGACTCAGGGCCTAATATGTTTTTGGTATTGATTCAAATACATTATTCGATTAATTCAACGAAAAATACGTTTGAATCAACAAACCGGTTGTAGAGTCGATAATCCGTTTGTTGATTCTAAAAACCATTTTGTTGATTCAAAAATGTGTTTTGTTGGAATAGTGATACAATATTTTTGAATCAATAACAAAATACATTAGGCCCTGAACAGTGTTCGGAAAAACTCAAAAACTCAAATCTCATCCATGAGTTTATGGGCCTATGAGTTTATGACTTGCAAAATTCAACGTCACAAAAATCACCGATGAGTTTTCGGGTTCAAAAATTCATTGCTTGAGTGGTTTTTATGAGCTTAAAACTGGAATGATTTTTCGGCGTTGTGAGTGTGAGTGCGTGAATATGCATGAGAATCTCAAGCGTGAATTTTGTTTTCCGCATTCGCACGCGAGTTTATTCTCGTAGGGAGACTTAATGAATGAGATTTGAGAATGATTTTCCGAACACTGGCCCTGAAACAAAGATTATGTAAAACGAGCTCTCGTTCCTTTTGCCCTACTTTTCATTTCATTTTCTTGGCCTTGGTTCGACGTTAGCTAGGGCTATGCAAACGAGATGCAACTATGTGGTTATCTGTTTTAAATTAATTGCCTCGCGGTAACAAGTACATTGGCATCAAATCGTACCAAAATAGTAGTGAGCCATCATGTTGACAGATCATGGGCCGCTGACGCCGATTCAAACACTCCCGAACGTAAATTTCAGTATTCATCGTCTCCTTTGTCACAAATGGCTTTGACAGCTTGCCACACTCACATATCGCTTTGCCAAACCATGGCCCTCCTACCAAATTTTTCGGTAAAAAAAATGACCTATCGGTGTCGTCAACTTCCTGACCATCACGGACTGTGTAGTATTGGTCTCCCGGAAGCGTCTTGTAGTTAAATTTGACGTATGTTACACGTTAATTTTCCACACATCAGGCTATCGTATAGCTTCCGAGCACTCGGTTTGACGGATGCGGCTTGTTTCTGACTCAATTTCAGCTTCTTCTGCTTCTTGAACATTCTTAGCCCGTTTCTTGCCTTGGCACGTTGGACGTTACTCTTCGATGTTCTCAGTTTTTTGGCCAAATCTCGAACATAGGTACTTTTCTTATTGACGAAAGCTTCTGGTCCATCGGTCCTGGTTTGCCCCCGGATGGCGGTTTAGACCACGGGGGCAACAATCACGAATTTCGGCGGAGCTCACATCAATGTGATGAATATAGTGGGTGTGGATGACTGCAACAGACTACTCTTTCTAGCATTCAACACTGCGATGCAAGTGTGAAAGAGTAAGCTTTCTTGTTCTGTCTTACCAGTGAGGTACAGAGAGAGGTGAAACAGATCGTGAAATATTGTATTAGTAAACCAAAAAATCAACGTAAACGCAAGTAGTGACGTCACTAATTGCTTGTATCGTACAGGAGTTTTACTCACACAACTTAACCGATTGCTTCACCTCGGTAATCCAGCTCATTGCTGTCGTACCTCCGTCAGTTTTACCGTTGTCAGTATGTCCAAAAGTGTCAGATTGTTCAAAAATGTCAAAATCGTGTGAGCTATGGTGCATCCATATGTGGTTGACAGAGATAGGGTCCCCCTGGTTTGGACTGCTCAGATACCTACTTCCTTCATTTTCGCCAACTTCCTTACTGATAGGTTGGAAATAGTGCACCATTTGTGCACGATCTGTTTGCGCTTTTCCGGGGAAATGCCTCGCCTTTTTTTATTTCGTAAAAAAAAAAACACACAATTTGCGCACATAAACTTTTTTTTTAATTATAATCACTTTAACGCTCTTAGGTCATTCGTGACTTGTCCGGGGTGAGATTTGAACTCGTGACTTTGGCGTGAGTGGTATGGATGCTAACCACTACGCCGGGGACACACACACACAAACTTGTTGAGCAATAAGTAAACAACAACACAGATCGATGAACAGCTGATAAACTTCATCGGGGTAGAAATGGTGGCGAGTTGAAAGTGTGCTTATACTTTCTGGGACACCCTATATGTATATTCGTTAATGGCATCCTGGCAGTATTTTGACCCGGGATATGCGGCGTACTGCCTAAACTCTGTCGTTAGTTTAGGGCCTAGGTGTAATCAGGGCTTAGAAGTACAGACAACATTTTCATGCACACTGCTGAGTTGTTTATAACGACAAATTTAGAAATGGCGCGGTTTTTCACTCGTTTTTTGGTCTGGAGTTTTTGGTCCACAACTTGCACTGCCACTTCGAGTTTTCTATGGAGTTAATCTCGGGAACTATTGTGATTTCAGGCATTAAATTTGCATCACCATATGGTGATGCAAATTTAATGCCTGAAATCACAATAGTTCCCGAGATTAACTCCATAGAAAACTCGAAGTGGCAGTGCAAGTTGTGGACCAAAAACTCCAGACCAAAAAACGAGTGAAAAACCGCGCCATTTCTAAATTTGTCGTTATAAACAACTCAGCAGTGTGCATGAAAATGTTGTCTGTACTTCTAAGCCCTGATTACACCTAGGCCCTAAACTAACGACAGAGTTTAGGCTGTGTCGCAGCAAACATGGGGAAGCAGTTTTGTTATTGTATGTTTTCCGGTAGCAGATAATTGACCCCTGGATAATTCAAGCGTATCTATTCAAATCGACGTATCTGATTTTGTAAACAATCACTTCAATCGACGATTTGTGGCAACTGCTAGCTCACTCACAGAAACTAACACCAGCTAGAAGGGGAAAGATTCCCCTACCTGAAGATGGCGTTTGTTTGCGTGAGTGAGTTAGCAGTTAAGACAAATCGTCGGTTGAAGCGATTGTTTACAAAAGCAGATACGTCGATTTGAATAGTTACGCTTGAATGGGTTGAGTAATTTCATTTTTATTCCGCTATAAAATTGCCTATCTTTTTACAGACTTCCTCCTGACACTGCTCAAGCACAACTTCTTAGATTCTAAGTCTGAAGGCCCAAGCGCAATGACAGCGGAAAAGCCCGATCTGAGTAAGCCTACTTGTCGGATTGAAAACAAGTTTGATCCAAATCGACTTCGGTTAGGCATCTTGATGTCATTTTTGACAACTGTCAAACTTGCCGTTTCCGTTCCACTTCCGCCCATATTGCGTTTGGGCTGTTAGTTAGAGGTTCGATTTAATAATGTTTTTTGGCTGTTTTAATAATTGTGTCTTCCAATTTTTCTGTGGGTACCTAATACGCAATCATACATGTATTTTTGTTCGTATCTCGAGCTTAGCGAAATATTTTCAAAAAGTTTGTTGAACTGTTTTCCAAAGAAGCACGGGAAATGATGTTTGTAGTAGCTACATTTAAAAAATATTGATGGGAAAATTCGAAAGTGATTGGGGGCACATAATTAGGCGTGGTCACGGTATTATTAAGTTGTACATTTATGTCGTGGATTTTGCGGATTCAAAATTGGGATTTCTGTAACAACCCTGTATTCATTTCAAAATGCCCTATCTGATCCCAGCTTAAATTCGCTGTAATCATCGTTCATATTTCATCTGCTTTCGATAAACACGGCGGAATAGTGAGCATCTCTATGGAGTACATATAAAACTGTCCAACGCTAGTTCCTATTTTCGATCCCAAAACTAACAGAACGAATGGCAACCAAATTGCTTGTCTTAAATTGTCGGTAGGAAAAATACTTCAAAACACTTTCATTTTTGTCTCTCTTCTTCTACCTATCTATATGTGTTTTGTACCCGTCCTGTGTACGTCTCGTGGAATTCGGTGCAACTGGTTAACGGTGGTGGTTTTGATATGCGAATGCGACGCGCTTCTACAGAATTAGAAAGAAACACGGTCATCTCTCTCTTGGACGCCAGCAGTCCCGCAGTGTGAACGTTTTGTGGCTCCAACCGGGCGCACAACCGTCATCTGCTAGCCCTGCAGACCCTTTCGTGGCTGTGTGAAAATTGTGGCTGACGACACGGCGGCCGCCGAAGCAGATCATCATCAGCCGAACGCTGGAGCAGAAGACATCGAAGAGGACAACGACAACGACGACAACCAGGAGCGACAATCGCAGACGGATGAAAACCAGAAAGAACCTGGTGGTAGTCCAACGTTAAGTGGCAGCGAGAAGCAAGATCCGAAAGAGGACTTTCAGGAAGAAGGAAGGGAAGAGCAACGAGAAGGACAGGAGCAGGAGCAGGCAGAACAAGAGAAACTACTACAACAACAACAACAACAACCGGAACAACTGCAAAGAAAGCAAACGCTCCAAACTGAGGCACAGGTAAATTAGATAGTGATTATGCCTTGCTATCGAAAACGGCAAATTACTAGATAATCTGGTTGTATGCCGTCTTCGTTATACCCTCTACCAAACACACGTGTGGAAGAAGGTGATGCATGAATGAATGAATGAATGAGCGACTGTGCGACGCATCAAGTACGTACTCCGTTCTGCATTCGAATTAGCTGTGGCATTGATTTTTCCTTCATTCAATGTGCCACAATAACGACGACGATGACGACGTATCTGTGTATGGAGTACTACAAACACTGTATGGATTGGGATGCACTATCTATTGTACCTACTATCCTCTGCTTAGTTCGTTCCTTTCCTACTATATTATGCGCCTTACTGAGATCTGGCTTGGTTTCGGTTAACATGCTATGATGGAGCCTGCCAGAGGTTGCATTTCGCACTAACAACAATACTTTTTACATATATACTTGTAGAATAAAAATCGATTTATATTTCTTTCTTGCATTAGAATTCCCGAGTGAACGTTGTCATTGATAAAAAATGATCTGATGAAATTAGTACGAGTTTTAATTGTATTGAATTGCTAAACTTATGTTTTCATGCTTTTACCACGATTCATTACAAAATCTGGTCGTTAATTTTTTTATTATTATAGGGAGAAAAGAGGCATAGTGAGCATCCCGCAGTTTGGCCCTGGATCTCTAACTGCATGAAACAAATCAACTGGTAGTAGGTTCAATATCATTATGATATTTGATCCTACCACCAACCAATTTGTTCCTAACGGCCAAAAGTCCAAGCTGATGCACGGGATGCTCACTATGTCCCACCTGTTCACTATGCACCTCTTACCCCTAGTCTCTTTGACGCTCTTGGGTCATTCGTGACTTGTCCGGGGGTGAGATTTGAACTCGTGACTTTGGCGTGAGAGGTTAATTAATTAATTAATCCAGTTGATGAACATTTACAAAGTTCCTATCTGATTTGATCGATTCTCTTTATCGACTTTCTTTTTCGTCGATAACATAGCTACAAAAACGTGCCCTGCTGTATTTGACGTGCTGAGCGCGAAACTAAAATAGCACGAAATGTGTTTGCATAGCCGTGGTTATCAAAAGAACGATGAAGAGAATCGATCAAAGTAGATAGATAAAACAAGATAACCAGGAAAACGGGATTTCATAGGCATCGAGAAAAAAAAACTCCGTGAATTTTGATGAAAAATCGGGAAAAATTACCTATTATTTTTTTTTTTAATAATAAGATTCTGGACCTTGAAAAAATTAGGATTCTTGGACTGGACTAAATTAAAAAAGAATCTGAAAACTTATATAGATTTTGGCTGAAACACGGCCATTTTAGATACTGTAGTAATTTCAAAATGTTGTCTTTGAATTTTTTAAAAAAATTGCAAAATTGTAGGACGGAAATTACATTTCTAATTGAAATGACATGTGACAAATGAACTTTTTTTTTTCAAGTAAAAATTCAAAAACAAAAAAAATGCACTTTTTTATTTTTAAGTAAAACAAAACAAAAACAATAGTTGGAGATGCTTAACATCAAATATCAGACTTAAAGTGGTAATTTTATACGATAGATGAGGAGTTGAAAGTATAGCGTTGATACATTCAAAGTGTTTTTATGTTACTTCTTACGCGAAGTTTGCGATTTTCAGAGTTGGTTGGAAATGCTATCTAACATGAAGCTTTAGTATGATAATTTATTAGCCAGAGAATGATCTTAGAAGAGGGTAGGTAGATAGTTGCGTTAGAGTACGGCAGTATGAAAATTGAATAGAAGTTGAAAATTAGCGAAGGACCATTAATGCGACAGTGCAATTCAGTATGAAGTAACATAAAAACACTTTGAATGTAACAACTCAAGGTGGGAGTAGCCGCCATCAATGCTGATGATGGTACAGCACGCACAACCACCCTACTTCTTTCTCTACTGAGATGACAACGCTGATACAAAATCCATCCGCAAAAAAAAACTATATTGCTGGTTTAAATTAAGTACCCTCACCAATAGATCAGCAGCAAGCATAGTAGTTTTGCCAGAGTCATAGTAAACTTTACTGAAATCAAAGTAGATTGAACGGTAATAAGCGTGGTTATATTGAAAATCAGTATTTTCTTCATTCAAAGTGTTTTTATGTTACTTCATACGCGAAGTTAGCGATTTTCAGAGTTGGTTGGAAATGCTAACATGAAGCTTTAGTGTGATGATTTATTAGCTAGAGAATGATCTTTAGAAGAGGGTAGGTGGATAGTTCCGTTAGAGCACGGCAGTATGAAAATTGAATAGAAGTTGAAAATGAGCGAAGGGCCATTAATGCGACAGTTTTTTAAAGATAGACGCACATCTTTTGCCTAACCCGTACGATGTACGCGGAGACTTGAAGTATGTCTCCAAGTCTACAGGCAAAAAATGTGCGTCCCTCTTTTGCTCATAAACTGACTGCGCCTGTGGAATAGTTCTAGCGACGTTTTCATCACTACCTAAAGCCCCACGTTGCCAAAAGCATTTCCAGTCGATGGTGTGTTATAATGCAATTCTTCTTTACCCAACTATTGTGTCGCTCCTCTCGTCAGTATTTTCTGCAAAATAGTATTCTTAACTATGGTCCTTGTTTCAGTTTACGTTGGTCATGACGAGAGGAGCAACACAATAGTTGGGTAAAGAAGAATTGCATTATAACACACCATCGACTGGAAATGCTTTTGGCAACGTGGGGCTTTAGGTAGTGATGAAACGTCACTAGAACTATTCCACAGCCACACGCAGTATTTGAGCATAGGCAGACGCACACTTTTCGCCTGCATATTTGAAGACATAGGTACTTCAAATCTCCGCGTACATCGTACGGGTTAAGGCTGGCGCACAATGTATTTGTTTCCGGGCTTTTTGACAGATAATGCATGGGCTAACTGTCAAAAAACCTGAAAACTTATCCTTTGTGCACCGGCGCTTAGGCAAAGAGTGTGCGTTTGACTTGCACTGTCTTAATGGCCCTCCGCTCATTTTCAACTTCTATTCAATTTTCATACTGCCGTACTCTAACGGAACTCTCTACCTACCCTCTCCTAAAGACCATCCAAATCTAGATAGAGCTCGAATTAGGGCGTAACAGCTTTTGTAAACAATGACTTCTTTCGATGATTTCTAGAAAGTTAAGACTCGCCAACGCAAATCAATAAGACCATCGGGTAGAGGAAGACTTCCCCTATCCGACAGTTATATTGGTTTGCGTGAGCGTGTCTAGAGTTCCTAGAAATCGTCGATAGAAGTCATTGTTTACCAAAGCTGTTACGCCCTAATTCCAGCTCTATCTAGAAATTATCACACTAAAGCTTCATGTTAGATAGCATTTCCAACCAACTCTGATAGTGTTGATTGTTCCGTTGAGTACGGCAGTGTGAAAATAGTATAGAGAGAATAAAGGCTGACTAAAAAAAATTGGCACGCACAAAAAGACCCGTAACTCGTGATTCAATAAGTTTAAAAAGTCCATTAATGGTTGCTTTACAGTACTTTTATTAAAACTTCAAAGTTACAGCATTAGATGGTTACTCTTGATGGAGCCCATCAGCACCCACACAGTGGAAACGGACACGGAATCAGCGCATTTCTTCCATTTTGCCCGCATTTGCTGGATGTCCTTGACTGCCCCGTCGCTTCGTCGAAGTCGCTGCTTTGAAACTGCCCAGTATTTTTCGATTAATCGAAACTCCATTTCGAAGTGGAAGTGCATGTATAGACACTTAGAAATTATCGCCGACTTCGGTAATGCTGCTGGAACTGTTCGGTAAAATTTATGCAATTCAATTCAATTGCTTTTCAGTTACTTTGAAACTAAATCTTCACTAAAATGACAAGATTTGATCAGTTAAACAAGGTTGAACATGTTTAAAAAAAAAAATAATTCAATGGACTTAAAAATGAAGGTCAAAGTTTTACCGAAGGTTCAGCTGTTCTGAGTTTGGTAAAATTTACCGAACACGAAAACAAAATCTTAGTGTGTACCCTAAGTGGCGGCTATTTGTGGACTCTACAAGGAATCATTTTATTACACTCGGTCTTGCGTGCTTCCCAAGCGTACACATGCACATACACTTTATATAATAGGTCCAACCATGATTCAAATTCATTTCTGAATAAAAACGTTCAATTACTTCCTATTATGAAAAAAAAAATTTTTTTTAGTATTATTAGAAACTAGAAAGGTAGACTTTTTCACGTCCATATGTTGTATTCATAAAAACAAAAACACGAGGCATTCTTCTTTATATATTTGGCCGTTGATGGTGCCGGTCGTTATGTACGGCTTACTGAATTTGCCACACCCGCAGATCGCCTGCCACACAAAGTACTTCTTGGCAAATTTGTCGACCTTCTTCTTGCGGAACATTCAGGCGGGACTTGCCGACGAAAAACTCCAGGCCGGGGATCTGTACGTCTCGTCGTCCATTAAGATGCATTTCGACTGCACCAACCACTCGCGGTAAAGCTTCCTGGAGCGGGATTTGGCAACCGTATTCTGTTTATCGGTTCGGTTAGGCGCCTTCCTTACCTTGAAGACATGAAGTCCGGCCCCCTTCATTGTCTGCTGGCCGAACTAGACCATAATTTTTGTCGAAGCATATTTGCATGGCTCGACAGATTCTACAAAAAAACGTTATACACAAAAGAAAGTGTTGCATTTTTTTCGAGTACAATCTTGAGTATCTGCTTAGTATCTTATTTGTTTAAAAAATCGAGGTAGACAAAAGAGTGCAGAGTGAGAAAATGGAAGTTAGAATATGCGAATCCAATTAACCACTTCATTCGAGCAGTTAAAATGACGTTTACTACCACTCGAACTTTGAAATAAAACATTATTTTGAGATTTTTTCTTCTAGAACCACGAGAAAAGTAGCCAACATTTGTGCGTTTCATAAGAAAATTAGAAATTAGTTGGTCCATTTTTGTGAAATCGCTGGTAGAAAGTCACACCAAAACTGCTTGACAAAGTGGTCAATTGGCAAATCAAAGTTGGCACTCGTGGAGAATAGAAGAACTATGAGTGTGAAGATGTTTTCAAAATTTTCCACGGGAGGTAAACGAGTGCAATCTTTAAATGCTTTTATTTTGCGAATGAAGCATTTTATTTAAATCTGGTTAATGCTACGCTAGTAGAAAACTTAAAGACTACTCAACAGACATATAATATTGAAAAAAATAATTTCTTTTCAGATTTTATTGTGTATACATAGATTTCAGCTTTTCTATCACTGTAGCAGCAACCAGATTTAAATAAAATGCTCCATTTGCAAAATAAAAGCATTTGAAGATTACATTCGTATACCTCCCGTGGAAAATTTTGATACCATCATTACTTTCATAGTTCTTCTATTCTCCACGAGTGCCAATTTTGATCTGCCAATAGAAACCAAGCGATTGTTTCAGCCTCTGGCGGTAAATAGGGGAACCCTCAAAAGAGTGATGAGGGTGGAAATTTTCACCGTGAAGCATAGGAAGAGGAAAATATTTTCACCTTTCCTGATTAATTTATCCGCCGCAGGTGCTTGAAATCATCATCCACGTGGAATATTTTGTTTGCTGTATCGGGTTTGCAGTGATCCGGCTGGTGCTTCCATATATTTTTGATGAGAAAAATTTACTCAATTTAGATTTATAAAATTGTCCCAGCGGTTATGATCTTTCGGATTTTTAATGTGTGTTTACTTCAGCTGTAAATCAGTTCAGATCTGTAGATAAACGAAAAATAAGATGTGAATTGCTTATTCTGCAAGGTAAACATCGAAAACAAGAGTTGTGACTTCATCCTTATCAACCAGCCTCATATATCGAACGAAGACGACGGCAGCAGCACATCCCAACAATCCAGGACCAAATCCCAAATCAGACCCATTAAAAAAGGCATGTTTATGCTCTGCCCTCTGGTAGCTTTGATTATATATTTGTCGAATCAATTTTGGAATCGGTAAAGTAGAAGTTAATAAAGTAGAATATTGTAGAACATCGAACCACCGACTAACCGACATGAAACTTAAACATAACTCTTGATCGAGAATCCATAACGACCGATTCAAATGTGCAGCGATCCCATCTGTCAAAACCATAGGAATGTTTTATGTAGATAAAAATAATTTGTCCGAAATAGATTAGACACGAACCAACTCATAAATTTTGTACGCGAACGCCGTGGCAGATGTCAGTTTTGTTCTTTGATCAGAAATTTCTTTGTAATTTGTATGATAATTCATGTCGGTTTGTGGGTGATTGGACTATGATGTGCAAAGCTATTGATATCATCATGTGAGACACATGGACTCCAACCCGAGCAAAGTCCAGCATCAAAATGACAGCAAATTGAAATCAAGTTTTGATATCAACATCAAACTGAAATCATAATTTGATTTCAGTTTCGCAATTGACAAATTTGATGTCAAATTTTGTTTTCATTTTGATGTACATTTGCTCTTCAAAAATATGTTGTTGCGGGTTTGTTTTCATTGCCTTAGCATAACATCAAAGTGAATACTTGTTTTGTTATCAACAGGAAAAATTGATATCAAATTGAGTTTTCAGTTTGCTCTCACTGATAGCAGAAATAGTTTTCAATGTGATGTCACAGGAAGATATCTTTGCTCTCAATTTTGATATTTTAACCGTTAAAACGACCAAAACGACAGCAACCTGAGCAATCATTATCAGCGAAATCACAACATCAAATTCAGATTTCAATTTGATCTCAGACTTTGCTCGGGAAGTGTGTCACAATTCGAACCAATACTGTAGCATAAGCATAAGATTCACACCTGAAATGGATGTGTTTCACAATAAGTGCTCAATTAAGCGTGAGACACATGATGATGTCGTGTGGAATCGCATGATTGGCCTGGCCTCTCAGTTCTGAATACACTCACCATGCAGCACTAGTGTCAGTTGATTCAAAAGGCTTGCTGCACTGTACCAAAACATCATCATCTGTTTGAATGAAACCTCAGACCATTAAAACCGAAACATCGAAATCGCTTCTTCAAATGATAGCTGCAATCGGATGACGGTTGTTTTGTTATCAGATGATGCTCCTCTCCAGGATGAACATTGATACGAGAAGCGAACGGACCTCAGTTGAAATACATAGTCCTCTCTGTAGAATGATTGTCATCCTAAATTGAAATGCATATGGTATTGGTTCAGCCCCATAACGCAAATCATCCAAAACGATGATGTAAATAATTCAATCGAAAGTCATGTGCTGATCTGAGCGTCGCAATCAGAGGTGGTACGAATATTGGTAAAGCGTGGAAACCGAAGATTCTCTGCAAGGTGGAGGAAGTTTCCTCTACCAACAAACGATGTTTGTAGCCATGATGGCTATTTAATACGGAAATGTAAACAATTGAATTATAAATCTAATCCAAAGCCATGCTATGGATGCTCATCAGTTGATGACGAATTCAACGATAAGGCAATCATCCGAAAATCGAAAGTATATTATTAAAGGGCTGGAGTATTGCAATAATCATTCAAAGCATCGCTGATGTTTTTTGTTCAGTGTTAAGCAGTCTACATTCACCGAAAACGAATCTTATTAAGAGAGCAAGTCAGTTTTACTCATTTGTATGGATACATTTCTAAAAGCGTTTGTTACTTATGCGCTGAGACTAGATAGGAGGTTGCTGTCTTTAGTAAAGTTATTCAGATGGATAAGACCTGCTGGCGCCGGTGGTGTAGTGGTAAGCGTGACTGCTTTCTAACACCCCGATGGGTCTGGGTTCAATCCCAGCCGAGGTCGGTGGGATTTTTCTGAGGCATAAAAATCTCTGGTCACGTCTTCCTTCGGAAGGGAAGTAAAGCTGTTGGTCCCGGCCCATGTGTGTTGAGTGGGCGCGATATCCTACGCAGGTGTGGAAGCTGCCTTCCTGCACATTCGATTGCCGTCAATGGATGGCAATCGATGTCCGTCGGTGATTGGCACTAGATTGCGGAACAGAGACCGACGTTAAATAAAGGAAAGAAGAAGATAAGACCTATATTGTATACTGGACAGCTCATATCAGAATTCTCATGTCTGTCGGCGCTTATGATACCACTTGACTTGTGATTGCTTGCTATAACTTGACTGCTCTGTTATATACAAAGTGGCTGTCTTTGGAATAGTTGTTCAGATGAATACAATAAATTCCGAATTTTATTATTACGTTCTTAGTGGAATTATACGTCTGTCTTCAACTTTCATTTTATTTTTCGTTTCTTGACAAATAATTTTGTTGTTTTGTCAATCATCCATATTCTTGTCTTCGTTCAAACCATACCTTTTTCTCTATTGTTCAAACGGTTCGAACGAAAACAATATTATGGGTGAATATCTCACGATATATGCAATTTTTCTCGAAAGAAAAGAGGACAAAGAATAATGAAAGTTATGAAAACTATGACTATAAATTGAATTATATGGTGTTATATATGTATGGGGTTCAGTCCATTCTATTGGGATCAAGGAATCAAAAATATCTCCAAATGACAAAATGACAAGCGATCAACGAACCGAATGATTACGCTATGTCAGAAGTAGAAAGCAATAATGATATAATCTTCTTCCTTTTTTTCATGGTAAGCAGACCGAGCGACACAGCTCACTCGGGGCGGTAGAAGGAAGCGAGCAAATTGTTGGCAAGCTGCTTCACGAAGTTAAGCCGAAGATGATACACATGTGTTAATGGGATTTTTTTTGCTAAGCGAACCCCACACGTATCGATATATTGACGCGAAGGGGAATTATTTTCAAATGTCTTTTCTCGATTCAGATCAAGCTATGTCCTCATCAGTGTATATTGCAACAAAGCAGGCAAGCAATTTATCATTATCCTTCTACCACTCCAACCGAGCTTGTTACAGAGCGAGTTTGTCATGGTAGTCGTAGCAACCGTTTTGTCTGTATCGTTGGTTGCTTTATGTGTTTGGATTCGCTAATTGGGAGTTTAATATGCTACGATGAAATAATCAATTTGACATTCCATTTATTTAATTACGTTTGCTTTTTTATAGATTTTTAATTAGTTAGTTAAGTTAACTTAAATAAGTTTTAGTTGAAAGCCACTTCTCTGTCATAATTTTGCAACATAAAGATTTGTTATGTCAGGTGCACTTAGATTTCTAAACTTGTTTTGCCATGACTAACATTAGTAAGTTTCCAAAAGTTGGGCGAACTTGTTTGGAATCTAGTTATGAATAATAAATTTACTGATTTTCTAATTTGAAAAAAAAAAAATAATAATTAATTTAATGAGTTAATTTTTCTGAACCATTTATTGTGTTATCAATAAATTATTGAATGAAGCATCAACAATAATGCGCACAAGCCTTAAAAAAATGGTTCAATTACCAGGCCGTCACCAAACGGGGTGCATTCCGGCTGCATCAATGCCTTCATCTGTTGTCAGAGGTGTGAATGAAACTTGATGTAAACAATCACCGAACATGGACTTCCCTAATAAATATAACCATAAGAAAGAGCTTAACGACGTGTTCGGTGTATCATCCAAATCATTTGTGGGATGGTTCTACCATCCGGGTTACCGTTCCTTTATGGTTTTTTGTTTATTAGGGTTCCTGTATCCTCCTGACGATATGCAAGCATTCGCAGATTTCTCGCAAATAAAAGCTCACTTCTACAAACTAATTATACCAATTGGTAGAGGAAACATCCCGCTACCAGCTGATGTTGTTAGTTTGCATGTGCGAGCATTAATTTGCGATAAATCGATGATAAATGTTGAAGAATTTATTCTAGTTCGAAACTAACCGGCTTCCGTTTTGTGTACCCCCTCATTCCAGGCAATGCCATCGGCAGTTAGCGGTGGCGGCGGAGGCGGAGGCAACCATGCCGGCGGTGGTGGCAATCAATCGAACGAGGAATGTGGCATTCGGGACGTTTGGCGGCACAATCTGGACGAGGAATTTCGCACCATCCGACACATCGTGCAGAAGTACCATTACGTGGCGATGGACACGGAGTTCCCCGGAGTGGTAGCTCGGCCAGTCGGTGAATTCCGCTCCTCGGCCGACTACCAGTATCAGTTTCTGCGGTGTAACGTCGACTTGCTACGGATCATTCAGCTTGGATTGACCTTCATGGACGAGGAAGGCCACACTCCGCCGGGCTTTTCCACGTGGCAGTTCAACTTCAAGTTCAATCTAAATGAAGACATGTACGCGCAGGACTCGATCGATTTACTGCAGAACTCGGGCATTCAGTTCAAGAAACACGAAGAAGACGGTATTGACCCGCTGGATTTCGCCGAATTGTTGATGACATCCGGAATAGTGCTGATGGACAACATCAAATGGCTCAGCTTTCACTCCGGCTACGATTTTGGCTATCTGCTGAAGCTTCTGACAGATCAGAACCTGCCAGCGGAGGAAAGCGATTTTTTCGAGCTGCTGCGGATCTACTTTCCCACGATCTACGACGTTAAATATTTGATGAAGAGCTGCAAGAATCTGAAGGGTGGCCTGCAAGAGGTGGCAGATCAGTTGGAACTGCGTCGTGTCGGCCCGCAGCATCAGGCCGGCTCAGATTCACTGTTGACCGGAATGGCATTCTTCAAGATGCGCGAGGTACATGGTTTTGGTTTTCTTAACACTAGCAGTAGCAGTAGGAACGAGGAGGGTAACGAGACTGATTGTTACATTGACAGTGGTGTTGGTAATAATACGGGTGAGATTATTGGTGGCGGCGGTGCTGGATGTGGTGGCAAATGTGCTAACCAAAGCAGCGGCGATTTCATGAGCTTTGAGTGCAATTGCGGCGACAGTTTCGAAAGCGTACTAAACCAGTCGCTCAATCATATTGATACGAAGTTGAAGGTGCACACTGTTAGGAAGGTTTCCACCGACTAGAGTTTTCCTTTATTTGATACATTTGCTATGATGCTTAAAATTGTTGATCCTACTGGCGTAAGTCTGAGGCAGGGAATTTGTTGAATTATCATTAATGGCTAAGGATAGAATACAGCAAATGAATTCGTTCCGGGTAGTGTAAAACGGGATTGTTACCTATTGTTATAATCTATTGAATTGTGAATTCACCTCGAAAAATAAATAAATATTTGAAATCGGCAAACGAGGAAAATTGGAAGTCGTTGTTAATTGTTCTGATAAAACGAAAGAGAATTGCGACTGAGGATCGAACGCATCCGATGCCAGGAATCTTCTTCATTTGCTGTATGCTATCGGCAACGGTTGTTCAACTAAGTTTTAGAAACAATTTGGCATGGGGAGAGTTTGTACCATTCAACCATATGCTGGTTTACTAAAAACATAGAAATTCGCGCCATTTGAACGTTTCCGTCTGATGCGTTGAAAACAATGCACAGTGGGCCAGGAATTAAATATAGCAGGAATAAAATAATAACAGTATGGGGTTGCATCCAATTGAATTGACGTCTGCAGTGAAGTTTCTTGAATTAATTACACTCATATAATCAACTTTCTTGTGATCCCATAATTGGAAATTGCACCACTAAATCACATGAACATTATGTGTTCAATTAAATTTATATGATTACTCACATATAATTTCTTATGTTATGTGATATTCAGATAAAAATCATTATTTTTGTTATTGAAAAAATCTGTGCGTTCCTAATAGAAACTAAGTGAACACTTTTGTTAGTGTATGACTACACTGCCTATAATCGCACATCCGTTCCATATGAATTTTCGTAAACTTTGAGCTAACAACGCTATCCAATATCAATTGGCATCTACTTTCATACTTGTGATAAAACAACATGTGGAAACAACACCAAGTTAGTTTGGACCATCAAGCAAAGTAATCGCATATCAGTCCCACTCTGAAATTCAATCGTAAAGAGGTCAACTTACAGCACCGACTCAGAGCTGGTAAATATCACGGCCGTCATGAGACAATGAGAAAACAGGTCCTCTCACTATCATGAGACGATTCGACTGATCATTAGCTTTCTTGTCATTTTTCAATGATCAAGTACTCATGAGAATAATTCTTATGCGGTTTTGACATCAACATTTCTAGCTGATGAATTTTAGCAAGTAACCGTATGTAATCGGTAAAGCGAATATATTTTTAAGATTTCCTCGGTACAATACAGGACCAATCACGATGATCACAATACTGTCACGTTCTGTCATGACAACAATATCGATGAGATTTTGAAGAAAATCTCTGTCATCGTTTTCTCATCCGATGATAGCAACAGAAGTATCTCTGTAAATATCGCGTGAGATCTTTCATAGAAAATAACATTTGCCAGCCCACCGACACTTAACTCTTGACCGAAAATCCATAACGCCCGATTCAAATGTGCAGTGATCCCATCTGTCAAAACCATAGAAATGTTTCATCTAGAAAAAAATAATTTGTTCGAAATAGATTGAACACGAACCAACTCCTAAATTGTGTGCGCGTGTTCGTGGCTAAACATAAATGTTTTCCGCGAACACGGCGGCAGATGTCAGTTTTGTGCTTTGATCAGAAATTTCTTTGTAATTTGTATGATCAATCATGTCGGTTTGTCGGTGGTTACAGTTCTGCTTTTTGAATTGCCATATTTTCACATTTATAACAAAACATATCAGCTTCATTGCACTCATTTTAACTTGAAAAAAATATCAATAAATTAACTATGATTTTTTAAATATTTGCACGGCAATTGCAGTTCATAACTTCGACTGTCATTTTCTCAAGGCCTACTTTTTCCAATGGGACTGATAGCGATTATAGGCAGTACAGTTTAGTGGATAAAAATAGTTCAAGTTTTGGACACAAAGATGGCGCAGCGATACAAACTTTTTTTTATTTCACGAGATGGAGGTTTGCTGTCTTTGACAAAGTTGTATAGCATACAATTTTATGGAAAAAAATCCGAAGACATAAAACCTTTACATCTTCAAATAACTGAGATATACCAAGTTTTATAAAATTTGTCTGAATATCACTTTTTGGTAGTATATTTTTGAACGATTGGTTAAGATTACTTTTATCATTTTTCCTCGATCGGTATTTACTGATCAATACAATCTTTTCCATATCGATGTTATTATTTTTAGAGTACTGTCACATGAAATTTGAAAAAATGCACGATTTTCTGAATGAATTTTCTAAAAACTGTTCAAGCGAACGCAAAATGTTATCAACTTTTCAAAATATACATCAAATGGATTTTAATTCCTCAAAACATCTCAGAGGTATATTGAGATATATTCGAGATAGCTAGATTTGAGTGAAAGCCATGCAAAGTTTCATGGAATAAGGAGAGAGTAATACTAGAGTAATACTACCGACAAACCGACATTACACTTAATTCTGACTTATACCCGAGCATCGTAAACGGCCGATTTAAATGTGCAGTGATCTGAACTGTCAAAATCATAGGATTTTTTTTTTATCTAGATAAAAATAATTTGTCCAGAATAGATCAGACACGAACCAATTCATAACTTTTGCATGCGGGTTCATGGCTTAGCTAAATATTTCCCGCGAACACGGAGCCAGATGTCAGTAGTGTGCTTTTATCGAAAATTTTATTGTTTCTGCTATGGTCATTCATGTCGGTTTGTCGGTGGTTATACTGCCGCTCTTCGCATGTCCGTCCCAAAGCGAAAATCGGCAAGCCGAATAAATCCCGAAAGACTGTCTTTCCAAACTTTTTCGGAACAATGTGATGAGTTCATCCAGTATTATGAAAATATGGGTAGTTAGCTATCATTTGCATTGAAAAAATCAGTTTTGACAAAAACAACTATGGGACCGACATGCGAAGAGCGGCACACAGATAAACAGGCATAACACATTGAATATTTCTCACTGTAAAACATCGTCGTTAAAACATAACCGCCATCTGTTGAGTACACTGTGGTGGGTAGTACGCTGAACAGATGGCGGTAGTGTGTAAACGTCAAACTCAAGGGAAATGCCTTTGTGCGCCACCGCATCGCGGTACTACCAACTACGATACTTTTAAATTGACCGTTAAATGCTTGTTCGATGAACAACTTGCGAGGGATATGTTTGTTTGTCTGTGGTTTAGAGTGAGATGCCCCTAGGCGGAAATTTTTAAAATTATTTAAGTAAGATAATTATATCTATCACAGGGGCTCGCGCACGCCAAGTGAACCGTAGCGACCAGGCATGGAAAATCATTTGCATTCATTTCGTGCATTCATTTACATTCATTTGCCTCTAACTTTTTTCTTCAACAGCATTCCGCAAAATGATGTATAGAGCTTTTGTAGGTTTTGTTATTAGCTTGTTGTCAACAAGACAAATCCGTATCTCTTATGCATGACGAATCAGAGCGAACAGAAGCTACTACTGTTTTTCAGTGAATGTATTTTACATTCACTGAAAAACAGTAACAAGTTCTGCCCGCTCTAGTTCGTGATGCATAAGAGATACAGATTTGAGTTATGAGCCAAGCTTGTAGCTTATAATAAAACCTACAAAAGCTCTATACATCATTTTGCGGAATGATGTTGAAGAAAAAAGTTAGAGGCAAATGTATGAAATTAATGCAAATGATTTTCCATGCCTGGTAGCGACTGAAGGTACATTTGACCCACGCGTGCCCTTTAAGGCTTTTTCGGAATTTGGCCGTTCTTCTGCCTTTTTATGTTCCGCCTTCTGATTTTTGAAATTCGGACTTTCTATAGTTCTGCCTTTCGACGCAAGATCACAGACCTAGACTCAATATGGTGACTGGGAAGGAATAGGACATATTCAATGTTTTTTTTTTAAATTATTACATAACTAACTTTTGCTCGTTACGCAGATGTTCTTCGAGGACAACATTGACAACGCCAAGTACTGTGGCCACCTGTACGGACTCGGAACGTCGTTCATCGTGAACGGTAGCAGCAACACGATCAGCAGCAGCACCAACAACAGCTCGAACGCTACGATCGGTGGATCCAACGCAAACTCAAACACCGGCGGTGGAACCGGTTCCGGCGGCAGTGGCAACAGTGGTACCACGGGCTCTTCATCCAACAACAACAACAATAACAACAACAACAACAATAATAACAACAACAACAACAACAATAACAACACAAACAGCAGTAGTGGAAACAACTATCACGACAACGGTGAGACGAATGCGACATCATGATTTCGTCTGTTGATTCGCTAGAAAATCGACGCACCTTTAAACTCTGAATGCACACGACACCCTTGGCAAGCAAAGGCAAAACTTTTCAGCTAACTCATCCGGCATAATAACACAGCAAGTAATATTCTCTTTAAAGGACACACAGCCAATATTTATTACAGCTTTATCACTATCCTTATCTATCGTAATTAGAAAGCATTTGGATATGTAGATGAAGAACTCGAACGAAGACATTCATTTTATTTTAAGCGAAGTGAGGAATAAAACCGATCCAATCGATTTGTGTCCTCGCTTTCGAATTTGTGAATGCCTCATTTTTTATCATCTTTGACGATTGATACGAGCCACTACTGAATACCTTTTTTTTTTAATGACGAACGACATGAGAAACGATTGAGTAATTTATAATTTTCGCATTTGCTCTAAAGTAAAGCAGCGACAAAAGCGTAGGTAGAAGACACTTTGAACAGGTAGAACAGTTGTCACGTAGGGTGAGAAAATGTAGATGTATTTATGTTCATTACTAGTTCTCCTCTCTTCTTTTTTATTTTTTTTTTGACTACCAACTGGAACCTATAGAAGGAACTTTAGAGGACGAATGCAAAAGAAAACAAGTTGAAATGTCATGTATTTAAACGGATCTTAAAAGGTTATCAAGCATCTTTTCATATTCAAGCATTAAAAGTTATGAAAAATGCACTCTGTAAACACTGTTATTTAAAACAAATCAAATAAAGGCAAACGGGACAGTTTTCTCAGAAATAAATTAAAAGCAAATAACAAAAAAAAAACATCTTTCTGTTGCAACATAAGATTAAGATCAAGGACGCAGAAAAACAGGATCACACAATTTACAGTCTAGTTCAGGTACTTTGTATGAGCCACAAACAAAAATAGGAATGAATAATGGATAGTTTTTTTTTTGAAAAGTTAATATTCAACCAACATTACGAAGCATAGTGAAACAACTGATAAAACACTTATATATGGAAATACAAATGTTTTATTGATTCAAAACTTATATAAAATGGTATTTTATTTGTTTACTTATAAGCGTAACTGCGAATTTCATTATTCCGAAAATCTCAAATTTTACTGGAGCTTCTTGTTCCTTTTGACTACTACGTCCCAGCTGAGGATCTTTTTTCCACTGTTCGGGACCTAACACCATTGCAACCAGTAATTTGATCTATTGTAGGATATCCCGGGTCCTTAGTTTACTACATGTCGTATTAGTCCATCAGTATTGAGAAATGATGAACCCTGCGCTTTGGTCAGATAGCGTATAGGGCATCGTTGTGCCAATTTGGTCGTGGCACATTTCGAGTATGAGAGAGTGATTGCAGTTTGCTCAAAAGTGCCCGAGTAAAATGCAAGTACTTTCGATGATTACCCGTAGTTGTTACAGTGAAGATATACACCCATATTCTCGTTTATGTCTGGACGTGTTTGCCATACAGAATTTTTTTATTTGATTTTGTGTGGTGTATGGGTTTTGGGCGTGGACGGGCATATGGGTTAGAATATTAAGTTTTCGTTAGGATAACGTTGAAAAATTGAGAAATGTTTCGCTTCAGTTTGAGAAGCTCTTCACTTCGCAACCGATGAACCATTCTGACGGCCCACATTACTGTGCAGGCGCCGTGTGTTGGCAGGGACAGTTTTATGTTTATAAAGTACCATCAGTTAAAACTGTATTTTTCAGCTTTATCTCTATACCTTCTTAGGTGTTTCTTAGAAGATTATCATGTTGATGTACGCTGATTCAAAGAGTAAATGGTATTAACATTGAGCTGTCCATAGTTGGGCGTTGTTGAACTTGTGGTACTTGCACAACATTTCGTGTGAGTACCAAAGTAACCATATAATCACAAAATAACTTTTAATGTAGGTTCAGAGTGAGACAATGAGATATGGTTAGCTGGGTATTCAGATGACTATTAGTTTAAAAAACTAATCCTGGTTGTATCTCTTTTTCGTTTGCATGAAACACTGTTTGATATTACTAACCGCGCCGAGCCTTCGTTCCGGGTGGTGAGCGAACCTGAAGAAGAAGAGGATTACCATGCACACTAAGATTTTGTTTTCGTGTTCGGTAAATTTTACCGAAATCAGAACAGCTGAACGTTCGGTAAAACTTTGGCCTTCATTTCAAAGGCTATTAAACATTAAAATAAAGCAAGTGAATTGAATTGCGGTGTGAGCCCCTTCTCGGAACGGGTGTGTTGTTGATGGACCTGGTCTACGATTAAAGGTTGGATTATGTGGTGATGAGTATCACAAAAAAGGTAAAATAAGTAGCACGATCTTCATCGAATATTCAACCAACATGACAATAATCATAACAATCAACTCGTATATACATTGAAATACATATATAAAAGGGAAGGGACGGTCCAACAGGGCACCCGATTGAAGCGATTTGGACGGAGATAGAGGGAATGCCAACTCCCTGTTGATAACATTTCGTGCATAAAGGGCGGCTCTTCTCTCCACTCATTGGGGCGGGCATCTTCCTGTTTGGGGGCTTGTCTTTTTGGCCAAGTTGCTGGAAGGAGATTCTTTATTGTTCCGTAGATGCGTATAGGCGACTTTGCCTTTCGATCTACCCAATCCGTTTTTGACCCTTCATACAGCGACATGTTGAGGACAATCAGAGGTTATTAAGCTTGATCAAGACAAACAGAGAAGAGAGCCCACTGCTGTTGGACTTAATTTCCGAGCTACAATGGGTGGTAAACCACCTATTGAGAAGTATTCGATTTTACAGTTGTCATTCTTGCATTTATCGCAAGAATCCGACTCTGAATGAAAGGTTCCGCTATGTATACTCTTCGGAGTGTTGAAACACCCTCTAAAGGCGCGCCCCTTTGTCAGACAAAATTGGATTGCTTAGCAATAAAATTAAGAAATGACACCGATAATGATGTTGCGGTACTCTGGTTAGAGATTGAATTAATGTAGCATGAAGCATAGAATCAAAGTTGCCATTCGAAACGACACGCATTATCCCAGTTCACTAGTATGCAACTGGTGAACTCATATCGATGTAGGAAATTATTCCTACATGAAAGTTCACTCTTTGAAATGTTCACTCGCTCACTGGACGCGTAAGTTGTCTGATTTTGCGAGGCATGTTATTTGATCCGTTGGATTGAGTATAATCTCCCAGCAGGATTACTTGCCGTTATCAATTTTAATACTAAGAAAAATACTTGAACTAAAAGATTGAAAATTTCAGGGTGCCAATCCAGGGAAATGCAACGAAAATTGGTCAGACTTTAAATGCTAATAACTTGGCCAATAATCAATGGATTTTGATAATTTATGTGTCGATCGATTCGGCAGTTTTATAAAATTTGTATGTGGTATGTCGCATGTTAAACATTTAAAAAGCTGAAAATTAAGAAATATGGAAACATTCAAATTTCTCATACATTTTCTTCGACCGCAAGGTGCTCACCCCTAACACAGCCATCAGAAAATTGGTCCCTAACAACACAAGCCGCAGCCGCATAATAATCTTTCAACGTTGCACGCTGGACGACCTCAAACTTGTTCGCTGTAGACATCGTAGCATTTTTTTTCTATTAATTCAGCTACATCAGCTAATTACAGAAAGAAGGGAGGGGCATAGAATGATAATACACATGCTTAAGTAAGTGAAACGTAGAAAGTTTGAATGCAGTCAGCGTTTGGCCTTGTGATAAACAGGGGTGATCGTTGTATTGCACACTGAAAACGAAACTAACTCAGAGAGTGAATAACTTTTACTCAGTTGTGAGTCACTTTTACCCATTCGTATGATTTTTTTTTAATTCGCATGAGTAACATGCGATTTAAAAAAATCTCTTTACGAATCAGTAAAGGTGGTGTAGTGGTAAGCGTGATTACCTCTCACCCCAGCAGGCCTGGGTTCAATCCCAGTCGGCGCCGCCGGGATGTTCTGAGGCATAACATCTCTGATCACGCCTTCCTTCGGATGGGAAGTAAAGCCGTTGGTCCCCGGTTCATGAGTTGATGATGGGTCGATAGGTAGGGTGCAGGTGTGGGAGCTGCCTTCCTGGCACGTCGGTAGCATTGGTGCTCAGCACGGAAAACAAGATCGACGGAAAAAAAACAAACCAAAGGAATCAGTAAAAGAGACTCATTCTCTGAGTAATATTCGTTTTCAATGTATTTAGCTTGCCATCTCGGCTAGAAATTGGATATTGGATAGTCAAGCTCAGTGTGCAATTTGCATCGAATTCCATGTTTTGACTTGACAGCACGGCCAGAAAGCAGGTTTCTGTATTCAGTGAAGTTATTCGGATGGACGAGTGAGATACTTTTACGTAGGTTACTCATGCGCTGAGTGACCAACGCTTTTAGAAATGCATCCTTAAGCCTGGTACGCAGCTGAAAAGTAATAACGTTTTTACGTGCTACGGGATAGGACACGGAATGCTAAAGAAATTTCTTTTAATTAGCATTTCTTGACCCAGTACGCAGTTCAAAAGAAATCGGTAAAGGAAAGATCGATTACATTAGTATCGTGATCGATATGAAGGTGGCGCATTCTGAATGCAATTTCATTTTCCTTGCGGAATAATGGTCTGACCAATTATTCCGTTAGGTAAGCTTAACGTTTGTTGTAAAAATGATGTTTTGGATGCATTGTAACAACATAAAAACTGATAATTGTTGATTTTAAAATTTGACGACAACTACCTATGAACTCAAAATTTAGCAAAAGACACCTCCCTATAGCTGTCAAATTTACTTTTGGGAATATTCCTCAAAAATTACTTTTCCGTTTTCTTTTCAGCTGCGTACCAGGCTTTACGAATGAGCAAAAGTTACTCACTCTCTGAGTTAGTTTCGGTTTCTGTGTTTCGACTAGATAGGAGATTGTTATCTCTTGTAATGTTATTCAGATGGATAAGACCTATTGTATACTGGACACAGGGTGATTAGTGAACCGGGAAATCGGGAAAAATCCGGAAATTCTAAATCGTCGAGAGAAGTCCGTGAATTTCAATGATGAACCGGGAAAAAATATAATTCGTCCTCTTTTTGAAAAATAATAATCTTCTCAACTACTAGATTTTCCGGATACAATCACTCTGAAGAACTTATTCGATAATTTTGAAGAAAATTCCAAAGGAATTCATATGGAATTTTAAACTGAATTCTTGAGATAATAAGGAATGCAAGATACAAATTGCAATGGAGTTTTTGGAAGTATTTTCAAAGAGTTTTGACTACAACGCCAAGTCAATTGTTTAAGTTCAAAGTAGAATTATTATGTGGTTTTATGTGAAATTACAAGACAATTGTAAAGAGGATTACAGGTTAATTTCTAATGAATATTCTAAATAAATTCCGAGAAGAATGTAAAGAGAGTTTTTATGAGAACTTCAAAGAAATCCTGAGAGTATTGAATTCGGAGGGAATTAGAAAGATAATTTCAAGTGAATTCTAATGAAAGTTCCAAGGAAAATCCGTGAAAATATCAAGGGTTTTGAATTTTCAATTAAATTTCTAAACCATTTATTTTGTCATATATATATTATTGAATGGAACAGCAAAATAATCCCGTAGTTCTACGTCAGCAATTCGGTCGTGCTTTGGACGCAACCCTCATCTTCTTTTTTAATCGTGGGTAAATTTTAATATTTTTTATTATAAGCTCACGTAGAACATCAATATCAAAAACTCTAGGATGATTTGGTGATCTCGATATATTTTATCACTTTAACAATATACAGTGCTATCCCGATTTTGGCAGCCTGAAGATTTTGCTGAACTTTTTGGTTTTTAGGTACAACGCGCCTCCTCGTATTGTTACTAGGGCGACGTGACGAGGGTGAGGAGTAGCCGTCGGTAAAACAGATTCCGTGAGTACAAAACCGATCAAATGTCCGCATGCATACGTTAGGATTTATGGGTGAAGCGCAAACTAAAAATAGCCAGAAACCACTACAAAATCCGCACAGATAGGTAGGAAAGTAGATAATGAGGGTACCCTAATAAAA